AGATTGAAAAGCTTTATGAAAAATATCCTGCTGGTACATGGGCTCATGATTAAATTTATCCATTTCCATTGTTTTGAAAGTTTCTTGTTTTCTTGTAGTTTAATATTTGCTATGATCTGCCATTACTCAGTTTATTTTGTATGCCTATTAATAAATTATTATATACAATAGATTGTAGTTGATTTTTTTTTGTTTACTTTTTAAAAGTTATAGATGTTAGATGAAAAAATAAATCATAAACATCTTTATTTTGATTTTGATTTCAGCATAACAGCAACTCAGAATGTGTTATTATTGATCAACAATTAAATACAGTCGCTGAAGAAGTGATTAGTATTAGTCATAAACTGCTATACTTGTTCATCATGTTTAATCAAATGGTTTTGCTGCTCATAACAAATGATAATTGTTGTATAACGACATCAGTGCTCATTTTATTTGAAGCACTTAATGATAAAAAAAGAAAACTTAAAATTTTCGATTGAATCTCAAACTTCATTCTCATTTTACGTGTGCTTTTCCAAAAGTTACATGATTAAAAAAGAAAACTCGATTTCGCACATAGTATCAGAATTGCAGGTATATATCAATATATTATCAAATTTTAATCTTGTGTTTTTTTTGTTTTCTCAAGGACATGTACAACAATATTTTTATTCAATAAATGAACATACAATCAAAATATGATTTACTGAAAAATTTATTTTGAATTTAAATTGTTCGTTTTCACATATTTATTGTCTGGCATGGATGAATTCATTAACAATGGTTAAATGTCAATTAATTGAAAAAGATTTTGTTAATACTGAATAGCTTTTTCAAATAACTGAACTTAAATTTTATGAACAATTTGAATTTAATAATAATATCATTTACAAGTGATAATCCATCATTCTATCCTGCATTAGGTTCTGATGAAAAAATTGTTGTTATTACGTAGTTTAAGTAAATATTTCAGAAAAAAAAATTTAATTAAATTTGCTTTAAAAAAGGTTTATTTAGGTACGAATGACACAATTATGTCTTCAATATCAGCTTCGTTTATTTTTTGTCTGTAAGTAGTACATATGTCAATATTGAATTATTTCAAATTCTAGCTGATTTATTTACTGCATCGGTCTGTGTGACTTTAGTATGCGATTTCGGTTGCTCTGGCGGCAATTTACGAGCTATTGATATTGTTAATCAACTGTAAAATATTTATTTGCTACTTAATCTCGAAGTAAATAAATATCGGTTGCTACAGTGATGTCGCACTGATACAACTCACCATCTATTTTCAAACATCTATTTTATTTTTATTTCTTTTTTCTATTTCTTTCTCAGTGATACATATCTAGTCTTTTCCTTACTATCCATATATCTAGTCTCTGTTCTTTCTTTTTTTCTCCCTCTTTTCTTTTTTCTCATTTTTGGTTCTCGCTCACTATATATGTACGTGTTTTCCATCATTTAAAATATATGATAAAAGATAGTGTGCAAGTGTGCATATACACACACACATATACATATTTTTTCCGTAAAGAGAGAAAACGAACTTAGCGTTGATCCAAAAGGACAACCGCTAACATCGGTGTATGAGAAAATGATTATTCGTTATACTAACCTTGAAAAGAATCTAATGAAAAAACATTCAATAATTGGCTTTTGTTTTTAATAATTGTGTGATGATATTATGTATATGTATTTTAAATATATTCTTGATGTTATTGATTATTAGTTTTAGATGTAAGATTATTTTCTTATGTAAATATGTATTCATTAACTAATCGATATGAATCAACAGCAATTCCTAGTTTATCTGACTATGCATTTGGAGAAAGATTAGGTGCTGGATCATATGGTAAAGATTTTTACTAATATTCAATTTGATTTTCATATGTTGACTTTTAGGAACTGTATATAAAGCAAGATTAATATCGGTATGTATATGAAATATGATCCATTAATTGAGAATAAAGTCAGTCGAGTTGATCGCAGACTCGACACAGCTCCGTTTCGGATCTGAGAATTTTGGATCCGATGGACTCTAGTTGAGAACATCGAATAGGTATTAAATATAAGCGGAAAATATCAATTAGTTTGCAAGAATTATAGCAATTCAGCAGTGAAATGATAGTTAAAATACTCTCAGTCTTCAATATTCTCATTAGAAAGAGTTGGTCAAGTGGCATCAATCCGTGGTAAAAGTTGATATATTAAATCAGGCTACAATTGACTATGTAATGAATATATCGCTCAAAGATTTGGATAAGTTAGTTTTTCTCGTGATTATTCTTCATTTTTATAGTATTTGATTCAATATAAGAGTGGTTTCCTTCGACTGGATGATTAGATATCCTGATTAGATTTCTTTTCCTGTAATTTTCAATGACCTACTTAACACATAGTTTTATAAGACTGAAGAAGCTCAATTTACTTTTGATAATATTTTTACGATCTGATCCAATCTAAAATGTTCCATTCATTTTAGACTTATTCCTGCATAATAGTTAAAAGCATTCATCAATACAATATTGTAGGATTTCTTTTTTTCATTAGCATCATGAATAGTTTATAGATGAGAAAAAAAAACTACAATTAAATTCTCTTGGTGGTAACACAGAAGAAATCTCGAACATAGTAATCCATATCTATAGACGATTTGACAAACTTCTTTAGTTCGATTTTCTCGTTCGAGAATGGAATTGGAAAAGTCGAAATGAATCTAAGACTACTATAGTTTTATTATGCGTTTACCGTTATTCTATATGTGTATGTCTAGACAAATGTATCACTCTACCTAAGACCGGTACATCTCTATATAAAAATGATTCATTTTTATATTATTATCCAAGAATGTTCAATCAAGACCAAATTCAGCTGCATGTAATCGTCCAACAAGTGCTCGACCTACAAGTGCTTTACCCACCTTCTATGCTATTAAATGTATCAATCGTAAAATTTTAACAAAAACTACCGAAGATTTACTTGTAAATGAAATCAAAATGCTTAAAGAAATAAAACATGAAAATATTGTTGAAATGTATGATTTTCGAGTAAATAAAATTGTTTTTCTTTGTTTTTTTTTTCTTTAAATAATATTATTTACTTTTTCATTATAGTGGGATGAAAATTACATCTATATTGTTATGGAATATTGTGCTGGAGGTGATATGTCAATGTTTATACGTTCACGACAACAATTAACAGAAGCTCGTGCTCGACCGTTTGTACAACAAATTGGTAAGAGTATGTAAGTGTTAGAAATAATAATCTAATAATTTCTTTGTATTCTTTTTTCTTTTAATATCTTAAAAGCTAAAGTATTAAAATTTTTATATGAAAAAAGCATTAGTCATATGGATTTAAAACCTGAAAATATTCTTTTAACATCAATTGAAAAACCAATTTTAAAAGTAGCTGGTATGAAATATTAAAAAAAACAAATATCATTATTTATCTTCATTTAATTAATAGATTTTGGTGTAGCACAACATATTGGACAACAAGGAAGTCGAAGTATACGTGGAACACTTGTGTATATGGCTCCAGAAATTCTTTCGTCATATCCATATGATAATCGAGTTGATCTTTGGTCAATTGGAGTTATACTTTATGGTATTTCAATTGTTGTTTTCTTTTTCGGATGACTTGATTTTTCGAGAGTTTTTAATTTTTAGAATGTCTTTTCGGTCGACCACCTTTTGTTTTTTCAACAGTTCAGCAACTTATTGATATAATTAAATCAAATATTCCAATTGAAGTAAAAGAGTTATTTAAATTGAAAAAAAAATTTGTTTTTCTTTAAAATTTAATTAAACAAACAAAAAGATTCCGAATGATGCACAAATATCTCCTGAGTGTCGTAATTTACTTGAAAATTTATTACAACGTGATCCAAATCAACGAATAAGTTTTCCAGATTTTTTTCGACATCCATTTATTTCTATTGACTTATTACCTCAAATTGCTCATGCCGTAAATACTTTCTATCATTTATTTTTTTTTTTATTATTAATTTAATTTATTAAAATAGGATAATATTTTACAACAAGCCATCAATTATGAACAATCAGGAGATTTAAAAAAAGCTTTAGATTATCGTGTCCAAGCATTAGATGAATATCTTGCAATAATTAAAGGTATTTAATAAATAACAACAAACTTTTAGCGCAATTCCTGCGAGATTAAAATTTGAAACACGATGTAATTGTTCTTGCTAATCATAGAGAGATTATTTTATTCTATCGATTTTAGAATCCATTTCTTCATCATTCTTTTACTTAATCTTTCAGAAATACAATAAGAAAGTAGCTCATATATTATAATGAAACGTTATTCATACACAGTG